GAGAGAGAGAGAGAGAGAGAGAGAGAGAGAGAGACTCGAGTGGACACAAACAAACAGATGTCACCAAGCCTGACAGCGATAAGATAACGGCACCCGCGGATCCGCCCATGCCTTGTACTCATTATTGACACTTCACTTGACAGAACCGCGCTCACTCGTTGCGCTAATAGACATCTCAAACCACGAAAGATGTGCTCAAACATGGCCTGGCTTTTGACTGATTGAAATCTAATATGCCCCCCCCCCAATCCCCCCACGAACTTTTGTGGAAAACAAAGCTATATAGACTAAATAGCGTGATCACCATGGGGCAAGTTGTCAGCGTGATTGAGTTTAGATCCTACAAGCACTTATTGTTGTGTGTATTAATTTTTATTCTTTTTTGAGTAATACTTATTGCATGGTTTTGTTTTAACATGAACAGAAAAAATATGCATTATGAAACATGAACCTCTGCTGGACAAAAGTAAAACTCAGAGGCCAAGAAGTTTTTAGAACCCCCGAATAAAGCCGTGTACTGTACTCTTTGAGTTTTTTGTTTTTTTTAAATATAAATTCTGATTGGCACGTTCATTTGGCTGGTTCCGCTTGTCTTTTAATGAAGCTAATCTTATCCGGAATTCTCCAGAATCTAAACAATGGCCTTGCTTTCCTAAACACCGAGCTTTAAATCAAATTTATTATATTATTGTTATCTCTCTAGCTTGCTTTTCCTCTGTGTGCGTCTCAATCAGCGGGAGCGGCACATACAACATCGCAGCATGTTAGGAGCTGGGCGTGCTCACCGTTATGTATGTATCCGTCCCTAGGCTTTCATGCCACTAAGATAGCCTAGATCCTTCCCTGTTAGAAACTGGCGGCACTGGGTATATAAAGGTATCGTTCACTGGCGTCTATAGTTCAGCATTTAAACACTGCACCGTTGTATGTAGATGGCCAGAGTTCTACTCCTGAGCAGGGAGTATTTTACTGGATGTCTCTCGATCTTTCTGCTCGGACGTTAAACTGTGCCCTCTCAGCCCCGTTTGGCCCTATCAGGTAGCGTCAAAGTCCGCTTTCTCAATTATCTAAACGTGTCGATAGGACCACACAAATACCTACATTAAAAATTGAAAAGGTAAAGGTATCTTTCTCTTTCAAAGGATGTAATGTTTTATCCTATTGTGCAGGGGACCATTCGCTCAGTCCTGCAGTGACGAGCAGCTCGCCTTAATACCTGGGTTAGAACACCGTATGTGGGTCCGAGAAATTAGCTCATATCAAATTAAATACTTATTTTTTACTCTTAAACCTTTTTCCGAATCGAAGTAAAGTATTATGTGTCCAAGACGACGAGAGTTCTCAGTTCTCAATTTATAAAAGTTTTGATAGAAGAAATCTTCAAAATTCGCAAACAGAATAGGTCTTACCCCACAAGTCCAAAACATAAAACAAAAATTGGTGCCGGTATTGTAGAATAGAAACTTATTGAAAATAAATTAACTTAATTAATTAGTATAAAGATGCTTTTGGCAAACTTTATTCTTATACGCTAATGTCATAATTAGAGAAGACAACACAGGAAAAATGAAGGGATTTCTTGGTTTCTTCCAATGTTTATTAAACCCATCAACGTTTGTCTGATTACTCTTATTCCACAACTGGTCACCAAAACAATGTACACTGTCAGATGATATTAGCTAAAGCAATATTGTACTACAGCTAACGCACAAAATACGCTCAGGAACGTCGGCTTACTTGATGTCTTTGACAAAGTAATTGAAAAAATGTACAAATTAATATTCATAATAGTATTTGGATCATTTAGACGCAGTTGAACTATGAATCGTAAGAGGAAGGAGGGGTGTTGACTGATATCGCATCTTAAATAATTATACACATGAGAACTAGTTTAGATATTCAGAAAAATTGGTTTTCACCAGAAGTTTACCCTGAACGGTCAAGGGATTTAAAGAGTCAGACATCCTCCAACAGTCTGGTCTTTCAGGAAATAGAACATTGTAAAAACACAGTGGGAAGCCTTCCTTCGGAATGCCATTTCCTCCTTCTTGTAACTCATAAAATGCACCAATAAACACCCTCATAAAACTGAAAAGGAAATCTTAGCCTCCTGTCTGTTTTCTGATTTTATGATTCCATCACAACTTGTGCAAGACTTCTCTTACTACATTACATTACAGATTGTGGGATTTGTGCACCCCCCTCCCCCCCACCAAAACAAAACAAAAACAACAAAAAAACTCAAAAGAAAACGAATAAATAAAATGAAATGAAAAAAATCACGACTTGTACAATCCATCCACTCTCCACCATCACGACTTGTACAATCATCTCCCCATCACGACTCGTACAAAACATCCTGTCCACCAGCACGACTCGTACAAAACATCCTCTCCACCATCACGACTTGTACAATCCATCCACTCTCCACCATCACGACTTGTACTAAACATCCTCTCCACCATCACGACTTGTACAAAACATCCTCTCCACCATCACGACTTGTACAAAACATCCTCTCCACCATCACAACTTGTACGAAACTCCTCCCCTTCCCTCCCACATCACACGCACACACTGGTCAAAGCTGGGATGATGTTACAGTAAATATCAACTCCTCTCAAAAAAGTTGCCTCGTTCAGATACTCGTTGTGGTCGTGTAGAAGAATGGGCGTCCTGTTCATCGGGGAAAACCCATAGGCTGGGATTCCTCTCTGAGGGAAGAGAGCCAAATGAATCATAGTTATTATTCTGCTACCTCAAAATTAGCAAGTTCTATCTGACATTCTTGGCCGTTTTGAGTTACTAACACCTTGAGGTCAGAAACCAATTATTCTATGGGCTCTATAAAGATTTTATTAGGTTGTTATGAAGATATTCAAATAATTGCATGAGAAAAAGCTTGACATTGTGAAACTCAAAATTGTGGACGTCACATTTCTCAAAACTAGATCTAGATACTAAACAGATAGAGCTGTGTAATTCTATGGTAACGATTTTTCGTGATTATCCCCTCCTAAAATCGACTTGAGCAATAGGCTTTGTTTACCACCGGGTCAAAATTAAAAATTAATTCCTATCAAAACTAAAAATAAACTGATCAGTATTTCATATTGTAATATTAAGAACAGCTTCTTAATCGGATTGTAACGTAACTGTTTTAAGCTGTGTGTGTAAAAAAAGGGAGAGAGAGAGAGAAAGAGAGAGAGAGAGAGAGAGAGAGAGAGAGAGAAGAGAGAGAGGGAGAGAGGGAGAGAGGGGGGTGAGAGACAGAGACAGAGAGGGAGAGACAGAGACAGAGAGGCAGAGACAGAGAGAGAGAGAGAGTGAAAGAGAGTGAGAGAGTGAGAAACAGAATACATAAACAGAGGGTGATAGACACGCAGAGTAACAAAAACAAACAAACAAAACCAGCTCATCATCATCATCATGACATGACCCAAGTTCCGAATCGACATCCCAGTCGTAAAATCCAGCACAAGTCACCACCCCAACAGAATGTAGATCTAGTCAACCCCAGCCCAAGGCACACACGCACAGCCCCCACTGTAGAGATGGGGACAATCCGGATAATCAAAAAGGATAACCGGACAATTCTCAGTGAAACATTATCTGAATTCAGACTCTTAAC